CAGCAGCAAATGGAAGAAAAGCTCTCTATCCTTCTCTTCTGCTTAAAAGTAGGATATAAATTTTCCTTTAGTGAAGAGGACTCTAGATTCTTATCAGCCCAGAGATGGCCCCAGAGGAATCTGCAGTACTCCATGAGTTTCCTGCCATATATATATATTTACAACATTCCCACAGTTTCCCATCTTTGTAGCCTAAAACTGCTTTCCTAGGTCCTGTCTTTAACTACAAATTGATTGTTCTTTGTTGAAGATGGTTTGTAAGCCAGAGTTCTAAGCCACTGTTTTGAGTTACTTTTCATTGACATCTCTTCTGTGATATGTGCTGCACACATTAATAAACTTGTTTTTCTCTTGTTAATCTCTCTTGCTACAGTGGCCTGTCCCAACAAGAACTCGTGGATTGACAAAAATTTTTTTTTCCTTCCTGACAGTTTTTGGCAATGCAGATGGGACTTTCTGGGATACTCATTCACTCTGGAACCTACAGATGAAATCCTAGCAAAACTGGCAGAAGCTGGTAAAAGATAAGAATTCTTACTAACCTCAGCTTTCCCAGATATTTGCCTGTAGTAGCCAGTCAAGAGATGAAGGTGAAATTTTTCCTGGTCCTTCCTTTCCATATTTAGATTGATAGGAGAAAAAAAATTGTAAAACTATTTGAATTTGTGACTCTTGCGGGTTTGGTTTTGGCTACCTATTGGTTATCATCTTTAGCCTCCTTGAAAAGGTCATTATTTTCCATTGTCTTTTGCATCATTTGTCATAAGGAGGAGAATCACAGGGTAGAATACAGACATAGGTCATACAAGCCTGTTGTTCCGAGCACCCTCTCAGGAGGGTGAGTTCACAGTTCTTACTAGACTGGTGTCTGTTTAGACAAACCTTGCTGTAGGTTCCCAATAAGAAAAGGATGAGGTTTACCTTTTGTCTTGATTTACGTCCTGAGAGCTTGGCTTTTATGACTGCTAAGACCACTCTCTCTGGTCTCTGCCAGGTGGGGGCACAAGTGTTGGCTAGTATGAGGCAGCCAGCTGAATAGGGTGAGAACCCAAGACACAAGTGACAAGTGGCATTCTCTTTGTCTGATGGTTCCAGCTGAGGGGAGTTTGTCTTAAGGGATGCCAGTCCATAAGGTGCCTTTGGCATTTCAAACTTTGTTGCTTGGTTTATACTGGGAGTATCTCAGTAGTGCTGGTCTGTTGCCACGGATTAGCAGGTCTGTGACTGGAGGGGTCCCACATTCTATGGGAGGCTTGAAACATCATTCTGACAAAACTATTCTTACTGTCAGCATAGCAATAAAGGTCTTTGTTTTCTTAGGCTATCTTTGGGAGAAACTTTGGATCTTGAGGGAGATTTGATCTTTTGGTAAGCCACAAAAGGCTTCTTGGTTGTTCGTTTTTTGTAGACACAGGGTCTTGCTGTATTACTCAGTGGCACAATCAGCTCACTGAAGCCTTCAACTCCTGGCTTAAGCAGTCTCCCCACCTCAACCTCTCGAGTAGCTGGGACTACAGATGCATGTTAACACCCAAGTTTTTTTTTTTTTTTTTTTTCTTTTTGGTACAGATGATGTCTCACCATATTGCCCAGGCTGGTCTCAAACTCCTGGCCTTGAGCAATCCTCTCACCTTGCTCTCCCAAAATCCTGGGATTTATAGGCGTGAATCATCTTGCCTTACCTGTTTTAAGCCATAAAAAAAAGCTTAGTGGTCTAGAGCAGCAGTTCCCAGCCTTTTTGGTACCAGGGACTGGTTTTGTGGAAGACAATTCTTCCATGGAAGGATGGAGGTTGGTTTTGGGATGATTCAGGTGCATTACATTTATCATTAGATTCTCATAAGCCCACAACCTAGATTTCTTGTGCATGCAGTTCACAATACGGTTCATGCTCCTATGGGAATCTAATGCTGATGTGACAGGAGGCAGAGCTCATGCAGTAATGCTCACTTGACCCACTGCTCATCTCCTGCTGAGTGGTCCAGTTCCTAAAAGGCCAGGGACTGGTACTAGTTTGTGGCCCAGGGGTTGGGATCTCTGCTCTAGAGTCACATTACAATGGGTATACCTTTAAATATTTGAGCTTTTATATCAAAAAATAATTTTTTTTTTGAATTTTAAAGGGAGCATTCATTCTAAACAAACGTCTTACTGGTACTTATAGTAACATAAAATTTAAAAGAGGACATAAAAGAGTAAGTCTAGTCTTAAAAAGAAAAAAAATAAAAGTCAGACTAGACTTAAGACCAAACCTAAAATCCACACCTGCTATAAACTCCTCCTCACCTACCTATAATCTCCTTTACTCCTAGCTGCCTGACTTTGATCTAACAGAAGATCTTCTGATCTCTGGGTCCCTGACTTAAAACCCCTTCCTCAAAATCCAGTCTTATCCTCTGAACAAATTCCTTTAATCCTAAAACTCCTCCAACTTTCCAGGGCTCTATAAATCAACTCCATCAGCTCCAGGCCTTCTCATATTTTGGACCCCTATTACAAAAATATTTCTTTGTACTCCAGGAAAAGAAAAACTTAAAAAAAAAAAAAAAAAACACTGCATCTTTTATAATAGGCGAATATGCCCTAAAACTCCTTCTTGGAGGAAACTTACAGTCCCTCAAGAGATGCAAATCTTACCATGTCTTTGAAATTGAAACATTCAAGGAGTTACCTAAAAGAACCCCCAGATACATTTGAGACTAAAGAAAAAAAGGCAGCGCAGGGGTAGAATAGTTTTTTTGTGTTTTTTAAACACACTGCCATAAAAACTCCTTTACTCAGAATTTAGTCCATCGCCTCCCTCCATAACATTACCTACAAAGGGCAAATGAAAAAATTTAAGTCTACCTCACAAATACTGGTAAAAAGTTTGGCCATCTAAGCAGGTAACCTTAATTTATTGCATCTGCCAAAATACAATTTACATTCAACTATTCTTTTATAAATTAGTGAGTTTTATACTACTGTGCCTGTTTCATGGCTAAAATTTTTAAATGAAAGCTATATAATCTCTGTTTGCATCTGTCTATGTACGTCTAGCATGTGTGTGTATATATAGATATTTTTTCTACCTTTGGATGGTATTGTCAAAAGTAATTCATAAAAGAGCACTATTTAATTGACTTGAATTAAGCCAAATGCTTTTCAAGTTCATGTGTTTCAGGTAAATCTGGTATATGATTAGTTTAATATTATTGATTTAATAAAAATAGACATGCCTTTAGAATTGTCAACAGTAAGTATAATGCAGACATACAACCTTTATTCTACCTGGGTTTACTACTCAAATAAGTTTATCTCTGCTAGATATTTAAAATTATAGACTTAGGAGTTCAGACCCAAATCAAACATGCAAGTCCAAGTACAGTATCCATTATTCCATGTATATTAAGCACAGCAGGAAAAGGAAACATGTATTTAACTTTTGGAAATATGTATTTAACTTTACAGTTCTTGTTTCTGTGCTGCTTGCCTAACATGCATGTGTTGTAAAAATAGTTAACAGGAAAATAAATAAGACAATGATTAGCTGTTTAATGGCTCATGAATTTTCATGAGCAATCCAAGCATAATAGTTAATAACAAGTATATTAAGTAAATATTAGTGGGATAAAATTTATAAACTCTTCAATAATGATTATGTTTTATGTTTGTAAAAAAAAAAAAAAATTAGTTTCCCACATCTCTTTTGTATAACTTACATCCTTAGGGTTTTGCTAAGTTAAATAATAAATATTCATTGAATATCTAGATCATTTCCAAATATACTGAAACATTATGTTTCATAGACTCATGTTGCTGAACATAAGATTATTCACCTTGGCTTTTTAATTTTTACAGAGAAACAAACGATGTTTGGGTCTGTTAATCACCTGTTCTTATTGTCACATTAAAATATGCTTCTAGAAATCATTAAATGATGTTAATCTGCAAAATGTTCGTATATGACAGGTCATGATTGCTTACTTTGTGGTTTTCATAAGAAATTAAGGTTACTATGGATTAAAAGTTTTAATATACATACATTTAAAAGTACTAAAGATGATAAGGTTAACAACTCTGTATGCAAAATATACAAGAAAATAAGATTATATAGTTTTGGTAAGCAAAGTTAGGAATGAAGCTGTGTTTTTGTTAGAGGAAAAAGAATAATTCAATCCGTACTAAAGTAGAATGATAGAGTGTTTTAGAATGAAAAAGGAGAATGAAAGGCAAAAAAATGAACATAGAAAGCTTGAAGAGGGAGAAAGTGAGAATGCATGAATAGTGTGTCCAAGCTGTCTAAAACAGAATACATTTATTATAAGGGTTTTAAAAATGAGCCTTGATATCAAAAGCACAGTGGACAAAACTAGTAATTGGAAAACAACAAAGCTGTCTTGAGCATTGGTCTGCTCTTGGTAAGAGATTATGGAAGACTTTCTTTAAGTTAATCTATATAGAAAGCAAAGATTTTGTGTTTTAGTAAAATAACTTCCTGTGTTTCCTATGGTCTCTATCAGTTCTTTGATTACTTAAGAAAACTGAGTCTTCTCACTATGTGACTTTATTTGCCTTTAGAATCTTTTAATAATTACTAAGTGTTGTTTCATAATAACCTGTGATCCTATCTAACTTTGGGATGTTCCAGACGGCTACAGAAAATCTCAAAAGAATCTGTTTTTTTCTCCTTTTAAAAACAGAGATGTCAAAGTAATTAGGCTTATTTGACATGTTAAACTGCATAGGAGTCATTGTCAAATAAAGACAATGTTTAATCTTCTTTGAGTTATAAATGTTCTAAAAGTTGTACATAATTCCTAAAAATCTGGTATGTCTTGGTATGATGTTACCAGTAATAATTACAGTTAGTATCTTAAAATGTTGTATTGTCATGGAAATAACCAAATTTCCATATCAAGTGCATTATAATGAACTCTTATCAGATGTTTAACCATGGCTAAAGTCTTATCATTCACAGATAGTTAACTGTTTTACCCTGTTACTTTCTTTCCTAAGAGCTTTTGTAAGCAACTATAAATATGAAGTTTTTTTTAATCTTCAAAAAGATTCATGGAAAGGACTCTGACACACACAGGTTTCTGATGACTTCAAGATCATACCACTGGGCCGGGTAAGAATATTTCAGAATTCTAATGAAAAGATTGATTGGTTCATAGAATTGCTAACTCAACATCAAGCAGAACAAGAATTAATTACATGGGACTAAATAACTGATGAAGAATTCTTTTTAGGGCCTTTCTGTTTAAAACACTGCTGATTCTTTAATATTCTGTTTTTCATATTTAAGATAAGTTTTTCTCTTAAGCTATCCATAGCTTAGAGCAATTTGGTAAATGCTTCAATTCTGTTTACAAAAGTATAATTTATCTTTTTTTCCTGGATCACTCCAGAAACCATTAGTGAGTATTCTGATTTTCATAGTGATAATAAGTATTTGCATAAGTTCAGTAAGAATCTGTTCTCTTTGTAACACAACTGGAAACATCAGTTATATTATCAAGGCTTTGACTGGAATGTCTTATTTCAGAATGTGCATAGAATCAGATATAATCAGTTTTAAAAAACACATTGACTTTTTCGTGCCAATACTTGGAAAACACTGGCTTGGTATCTTACATGCATTGTTTCCTTGCAGATGAGTAAGAAATGTCACCTCCTGACAAGCCCAGGAGCGTCAGAATATTTGGAGGATCTTTAGAAAAGAAAGGAATTTACCTGACTCTATAGGTATTGCAGGCAAAATCTGATGGCAAGCCTTTGGCATGCATTCCTAATCTGGGGCGGCCAATAAAGGGCCAATCTTAGAATCCTTATTAAAAGTTCCAGCAAAGCAGACTTATAAAAGAGCTTATATGATTAATCACTCTTCTTGCTACACTTTTATGCAAATAATCAAGCCAAGTTTAATGAGACTAGACTTTTTGAACAAATTGGTCTCACTGTGATTATCTCTGATAGAAATCAGGGTGACTGCAGAGAGAAACACACTGTACTTCATTATAAAATTGTAACGCACCCCTGCAGATAGCAGATTCTAGCCTTGTTCTTTATCTCTGAGGTTTTGTTATTTACCTGTAATCTGGTCTAGATCCTGTATTCTTCTAGTTTCTGTAAGTCTCCAAACTAGTATTTCCAATTTTTCTCCTGGCTTGAAATCACTAAAACATAAAATATTTAACTGCCCTTTTCCTGAAATCCTAATAAGCTGAAGCTGAACAACTTGATATAAACGGCGGAGAGTCACCACAACAGCTCACATATGGACAGTTTTCATGCCTATTGCTGTGTGGGCCACACACTTATAACTACAGACATTCAAACTGCAAAAAATGCTTTGAGCCCAACATCTAGAACTCTTGACTAGCAGCCCTTAGGATTCAGAAATTAGTATACAGACTATTCCTACTATTAACTTTTGTTTTTCTTTTGTTTCCATAGAAATGTCTCTTATTAATTACTAGAGACCGAACTTTGATGAGAACTCACCTACAATATCTCCTGAAATGAGACACAACTGCTTAATTGAATTGACCTTTTTTCAGCATTAATGATTTGATACAGGGCAATGTACTTAAATGTGCTCATTTGTACTTGTTCCAATCTATGTTTTTTTCTTCCTTTGCCAGTCTCTTATCTCACAATCTCTCTCTAATCAAAATATCTTCTTCAAAGTTACCAACATGGAGAGTTCTAAGCCACCATTTGTGTTGCGGTTTCTCCCACATTGTGTGCTGCACATATTACTAAACTTGTTTTTCTCTTATTACTGTGTCTTTTGTTACGGGGTGTGTCTCAACTAAAAACCCATGAGGGTTGAGAAAAAAATTACTTTTCCTCTCTGACAGTACTTAACACAGAAATGGCCATCACTATTCAATTTTGTCTCCTGAAGAAAACAAACAGAAAACCCAAACATCTCCCATCCACCCACAAAATCTCAACAGGAAATAAAAGATAAACAACTTAATGACTTAATATCACCTGGGTAAAACAGATTTTACATAAGCACACTATTAATATTTTCTTGACACGTGACAGATATTATCAGGTTATGTCTATTTGTACATTAGGTAAAAAATTATACATAAATATGAATATGATTGAAATGCCTAAGAAAAACTTATTTTAGCCAAACTATTTGGCTATGTCTTACCTCTTTCTGTAGAATTTCTTCTCGAACTTGAGAAACTACAAGAGACTCTTGTTTACTCTGCAGCTCATTAACTTGACTTTGGAAATGTTTTATAAGTACCTAGGAAATTGTTAGAAGTACTGAGTTAATAATGATCCTCCTTGAAGACTATCTGAAAAATATAAGCAAGCAAACTCATAAAAGGGAACTCTCATATGCTGTTGGTGGGAATGTAAGTTAGTATAACCACTATGGAAAAAACTAGAGAGATTTCTCAAAAAACTAAAAATAGAATTACGTATTATCCAGCAATCCCACTACTGGGTATCTATCCAAAGTTAAGGAAATCTGTATATCAAAGGGATACCTGGCACTTGAATGCTTACTGCAGCACTATTCACAACAGCAAAGATATGGAATCAACCTAAGTTCCCATCAACAGTTGAAAAGAAATGTGACACAGTGGAATACAATTCACCCTTAAATAAGAAGGAAATAATGTCATATGCAGTAAAATGGATGGAACTGAAGGTCATTATGTTAAGAAAGCTAGGCACAGAAAAATACTACATGTTCTCACTTATATATGAGAACTACAAACTTGACTTCATGAACACAGAGAATAGAACAATAGATACCAGAGATGGGAGAAGGGGATTGCGAAGGATGAAAAGAGGTTGGTTATGGGGACACACACAGTTAGATAGATGAATTAAGTTCTAATGTTTGATAACAGACCAGAGTGACTGTACTTAGCAACAATATTATGTGTATTTCAAAGTAACAAAGAAGGCAGGGCTTAAAGTGATACCAAGACATAAAAATCATGAATACTCAAGGTGATGGAAATCCCAATTACCCTCACTTATTACACATTCTTTGCATGTAGCAAACACATGTATCCCATAAACATCTAAATCAATCTCTAAATCATTTTACATATCAATAAAAGGGAGGGAAACAAATATGAACATTTTTCATGACTAGAAAAAGTCCTTTTAAAATAAAGCTCTAAAGTCTATGCATTTGGAAAAAGACAATAATATGTTTATACTATGGTTAACTACGATAGTTTTTATATAAGAACTACTGATTAAAATAACACAAGCCTCACAGTATCTGTGAAATGTCAACCTCCTATTTTTAGGTAAACTGAAATACATGAATAGATACTTCCATCAAGAAACTGGGAGAAATTAGGAAAAATGTATATGTCTTATCTCTAACTCTACTTTTCATCATCAGACTATGCTGATTTCTCTTTAACTCAATTTTACAATATTACATTTATAACTCTGGGAAAATAACATTAATGGCACTATGGCATCATGATACTACCTTTCCCACCTCTCCCAGACTATTCCTTACTACAAAATCATTGATAGAATGCTTATAGTTGCCCTCTGACACCGTATTCCTATCGGAGATAACGCCAGAGAAGTTCTCTGTAAGGCTGTATGGACTGTTACTTTTGAAAGGCACTTTAAGTATTTTTCGTTAAAGTAGTCAAACAGTTCTCTTTTCCTCAGCGATCTGAAGTTAAGTTACAGAGCTCATTACATTTCCCCCTAAATACTTCAAATGCCACCTTTCAGAAGCCAAAGTGGCCAGATCATTTGAAGTCACGAGTTCAAGACCAGTCTGTCTAACATGGTGAAACCCCATCCCTTAGTACTAAAAACACAAAAATTAGCAGGGTGGAGTGGCGCACACCTGTAATCCCAGCTACTCGGGAGGCAGAGGTTGCAGTGAGCCGAGATGGGAGACAGAGCGAGAGACTGTCTTAAACAAACAAAACCTTCAAATGCTTCAACATACATCTCTTTAGAATAAGGGCATTTTTCACAAAACCACAACGTTTTACACCTAAGAAAATTTATAATAATTTTTTAGTATCTAATAGCCAGTTCATATTCAAACTTCCCCAATTTTGGAATTTTTTTTTTTTTTTTTTTGAGACGGAGTTTCACTTTTGTTACCCAGGCTGGAGTGCAATGGCGCGATCTCGGCTCACCGCAACCTCCGCCTCCTGGGTNCCGCAACCTCCGCCTCCTGGGTTCAGGCAATTCTCCTGCCTCAACCTCCTCAGTAGCTGGGATTACAGGCACGCGCCACCATGCCCAGCTAGTGTTTTTGTATTTTTAGTAGAGACGGGGTTTCACCATGTTGACCAGAATGGTCTCGATCTCTTGACCTCGTGATCCACCCGCCTCGGCCTCCCAAAGTGCTGGGATTACAGGCTTGAGCCACCGCGCCCGGCCAATTTTGGAATTTTTTTAAATTAAAATGGTATTAAATAATTATATGTGGTGAGAATTCTTGATGTTTAAGTTTCCTTGAGCTTCTTTCTTAAAATTGAAGCCTACAGACAAGATGAACACAATAAACATGCATGTATTTTTCAACTTGATAAACCAAAAGGTGGCTGATGGATTAAAAAAAAAAGGTGTCTGATTTGCCACCTTTTTCTTGGATACACCATTTGAAAGTAAACTGTAGATAAAAGTCCTATTTTAATGCTATTTTTACAAGCAATTAACAGTACAGAAGACAGGCCACATGGTCATTCTCACAGATATTCTGAGTAGCTATAGCTATCATTCAAAAAGGAAGACACATTTGAGGAAATGCTGATGAGTTGGTAGTACTCCTTACATGAATTTTTAGAAGACTACGCTGAATCAGAGCAAGCAAAAGCTGTATATTCTCTGTTCATTATTTTATCCCAGTTCCTGATGGTCTTTGATCTGAATAATTATTTGTTCAATAAATAAAACATCATGGGGCAGGAAGAATGCCTTAGGATAACTGTCAGCTAGGACTTGGGGACTTGGTTCAACATCCAAGTTCAAGTAGTAGGGTCCCAATCATGTTAGACATATACCTCACAACCTGTGACAACGTATTTAGAGAAAGACTTTTGAGAAGTGTAGGGATAAAACTGTTAAAACATGTATTTACATGGCATAGTTTTAAAGTAGAAAAATTAAATATATGGTAATGGTATTATCTTCTTTAAAAAAAAATCAAGTCAATAATAGTTTTCCATTTCTATCACCAAGCTGAAAAAGTTAACATTTCTAAATTAAACAGTGTTACCTTTAATCTCATTAAAGTCAAAACAAGTTTATTCAAGTCAAAAGATAAAACATATTTGTCACATACCTCTTGAGTTGCTATTTTACGATTTAGTTCGGCTACTTTGGAAGAAGAATTCTCTACTGCATTTTGGCAAAGAAGTTTCTCTATTTCCCTCTGATGAGATGCTTTGAGGGATGCAATGTGTGCTGCACTATCTTCCTTGAACCTACAGAGCAAATGAAAGAAAACCACACATAAAAGTAGCTCTTCAATCTCTAATTCAGAGTTCGCACAAAAACAGTGTAAGAAACCTGGAAATTAAGCAAAGGGAAAAAGGGCACTAATATTAACTGCATTATGATAGATGCTTTGTACATTATCGTCTAAGAGTTCTTGTGAACAGTCCATGAGCTCATTATTATTTATTAAATTTCATAAGGGCAAACTTGATGAAATAGTGACATATCTCTACTTTATCCCCAGCCTGAGGCTACACTTTCTGAGGGAATCTAATGTTCCAAAATAACTGTTTGAATTTAAAGCAAAGCACTTGACATTTGATCTTTGAAGATAAAATCAATTTCTTGCCCAGATGCGTCTTTGGAAAATCACAGCTGTTCCCTTTAGAATCTGCAATGCCTTGTGTCTAAGCAGCATTAACCAATTTTTGATCCATGCATGAGACTCCAGGGCTAGTTGCATGTTGTAAGAATGAGACAATCTTTACATTTATTCTCAGGACATATTATGCTTGTAATATGCAATTAATTAGACTGTAAGTGTGACAGACCATTCATTTGTCTCTGTGATAAAATTTATGTATTCAGAGGCAGTTCAGTAAATGGTAAAATTATAAACAAAGATAGATTTCCTACAGATAAACATTTTCTTTCTTATTGGAAAGACTGAAAATAATAGGATTTAACTTAAAGCATGTATTTTATTAAACTGCTGTTGCTACATCTTAATATGGTACTTCCCAACTATAGACAAATTTATCCATTGCTTATTTCACCATATGAATATTTCTCCATGGAAACAGTGTGAATAGGATCCTAGGAAAAGCATAAAAACCTAAATTAAAGCACATATGATATAACTGAATAATAGTAAAAAGTCTAAATCTGGGACTAGAAAAGTTTATTACTTCTCAGGCCCAGGCTTATCTAAGAAACAGATTGACAATATTAACACATTTTAAATTATGTACAGGAAATTTTATTGGAAAACCTGAATTTTAAATTATTTCCTGGAAAGAATATGATTCTTCTTAAACATAGCTCCATGCTACTATCATAATATTCAGGACTGAAGAAACAAGATTTCCATTTGGTAGCAATATGACTGCCACATGGTAACAACATGACTCAACCACTGCCATGGCTGCCAGTTAATAAGCATTTGTTGGGTGCTTCCCATGCTCATTCTGCTCCTACAGCAGATTGCTGTGAGGATGCAAAAGCAGCACCATCTTACACCAGTTCTCAGGGAACTACAAGGCTGTGTATGATTAATGCTTCCTTAGTACATATTAACAAGTTGTGTAGGAG